ATTATGAAAAATTATTTTAGCCATGAACAGGCACAATGATATGTAAGGAATGAAACTGCCATTTCATTTTGGTGCAAAAAAATGCACTTCACAGGGCCTTTAAGTACAAGTCCCTCAAAATTGCACTAATGTGCAGTCCTTGAGTAAACCTACTTAGTTACTTTACACCACTGGTATGTACACATGAATCTCCGTCTTTTTGTGTGCTGCGAATAGATTGGGGCGTCAAATGATCAGTTAGAGCAGAGTGTACTCTGAAAACAGTCCCTGGACAGAGCTCACTCTCTCTCTGTGCGATGTGTGTGTCAGGGACCATCTGGATGCAGCAGATCTTGCTGCTCCTCGAAGCTAAGGGAGACCTGGCAGCCATCAGCGGGCTCAGCAGCTCCTCCAACGCTGATCTCATCCCCTGGATTGAGGTGAATGGCAGCAGGCAGACGTTCATCACGGCGCCCTCCCCCAGGATGAGGGTCACCCACCTGCAGTACCAGTTCATGCCTTCCGCTCTGAGCCAGAAGAAGGGCAAGGTCAGCTCTCTCACATGTGTTACACAAATCTTTATGTCCCCATATTTAGTATTTATAAGCAGGGGGTAAATTGGGCCTGGGCTGTCCGGGGTTCACATAGGCCGACGCTCGTACCCCATCAGCCTCTAATACCTTAAACAATGTAAATGTTTACAAACAAATGCAATTCAAATACGTGCTCCCCTCCTTAAAAACACAGCTGAATATCAAATGCTCCCTTCACTAACAGTCAGACACCAGCCAGTGTTAGAGATTGTTTCATTCATCTACACTGAAAAAACTGAAATGTTGACTTAAAGTGAATGTATTATGTCGATGGATTTTACATAACTGTATAAGGTTAGTTAGAAGCAATAATATTAAGTTTAAATTACAAATATTAGATGAAACTTAATATTATTGCTTTCAACTAACCTAGCACTTACACCGGTTAATAATCATGATATGATCATGATCTCAATATGAATTAAGGTAAAACATTAATATCATTTTAGCCATCATCGTGCAGGATAATGTGTTCTCACACATGTTGTTTCTTCTCACTTTTCTTTGGAATGATTGCAAGGAAAGGGTCATTTAACATTTATTTTTAAAGTAACGGAAATATTTAGATATTTGAATAGGTGTGTGTATGTTGCAAAATAAGATGTAAATGTACAGTTTGATGTAACTATTAGAAAACTGTCTTTTGTATGTTCCCCGACATAACAAGACGCAATTGAGACAGTTTCATTCCACCGGCCATAAGACCATTAAACATGAGCTCTGTAAAGTGCCTCCAGAAACATTCATCTGTTTGCATCTTGCTATTTATTTATATATATATCATGTTCCATTTAGGTGTATATAGACTCTTCTTGCATTATTTATATTTTAGTTTATTTACTTGCACATCTTGCAACGTTCTCCTGCACTACTTTATTTATATTCTGTTATTTATTTCATTATTTGTATTGGTTTAATTTATTTCATGTCCTATATATATTCATTTTGCAATGTTGGAGGAGCCTGTGACTTAAGTTGTTCATTGCCAAATATACACTGTAGCTACTTTGCACATGAAAATAAGGTCTTTCTTGCATCTCGGATATTTAACCCCAGTTTATACAAACATGTACTAACACACTACAATGTGGTATGGGACACTCGTTTTTATTACAGTTATTTGTATTATTTAAGTAATTGTTCCTGTTGAAGGTGATCTACGTGGCAAGAAATCCCAAAGACGTCCTTGTATCTTACTTCTACTTCCATAAGCTCGCAAACATGTTGGAAACCCCGAAGGATTTCGATGACTTCTTCGAGAAATTCATGAGAGGAGATGGTGAGTTGTCTTCAGTTGCCAAATAATGTCAGAGAATGTTGCCTGTGGTATTTTGTGAGCAGCTCATGATGCATGTCTGCATTGTGGTGGTAACTTTGTGCATTATTCATTGCAGTGTTTGGGTGCAGCTGGTTTGAGCACGTTAAGACTTGGTACTCGCATAAGGATGATATGAACATGTTGTTCATTACTTATGAAGAAATGATTCAAGTAGGACCTGAAATCATTGAATCATGTCCATAAGCATCAATCGTTATAAGCAACAATCATTGCACATGTTGTAGGCTTTTGTTTAGAAGGATCAGATACAAAAAAGTGCATTTCCTTTCATGTTGGTCCAGGACCTGCATTCAGCAGTGCAGAGGATCTCTGTGTTCCTGGAGAAAGAGCTGAATCCTGAGCAGCTGGCCAACGTGGTGAAACACAGTACCTTCAACAACATGAAGAAGATCCCTAAGGCCAACTACGAGCAGGTTCCAGATGACCTGTTCAGCCACCACAAGGGAAGATTCATGAGGAAAGGTAAGAGTGTGTACGGCGGAAGGTGCAGGTAGCAGATGACCTGAGCAGCAAAGAATTTAGGGCACACTGGACAGGTGACTTGAGCTTTAAGATTTTGGAAGATGTAGATAAGTAGATCACTGATTCCTTTTGTTAGGTGTCAATCTCTGATACTAACCTTTGTATCCCGCAGGGTATAGCTTGTGGATTTACTTATTTAAGTGTTGATTATATTTCACATCATTAATCAAAATCTGTAAAGTAACTAAAGGTAGGCTACTAACTTAACTTAGTGGAGTAGAAGTATAAAGTAGCATAAAATGGAAATACTGAAGTAAAATATTAGAATCTTAAAAGTGTAGCTAAGAACAGTAGCCTACTTGAGTAAATGTACTTAGTTTCTTCCCACCACTGCACCTTTCTATCTACCATTATCCTTCAGTTGTGTTTGTGTCCATGAGATAAAAGTGAGTCCAATATTTATCTCTGTTCTGTTCTCTGCCCACTCTGTGTTCACTACAAAGAACACCTCTTAATAAAGTAATAATCGGATCCTTTGGGATGTTTGGTACACATGGGTCAGCAGGGGGTCCATGAGAATTCCTGGTGTCTACAGACATCTATCATCCCCATCCTCTGGGGCACATGCTAAGTTAATTGCCAGTGTGGGAGGTTCAACATACAGTTCACTGAATTCACCCACTGCACCACCCCGACCCAGTCTCAGGCATTTCGTGTTATAGTCACGAAATTAATTTAATCTATTGATTCGTGTTCACCAACACGATTTTCGTGTCACACAGAACGATTTTAAAAGCAATGTATTTCTATTGGTAGTATGTTTCGTGCTTGCACACGTCTTTTTGTCCGGTCGGGTCTTGGAATACCAGAAGCTGTGGGGTTCATAAAAACATTTTCTTACTCAATATCTTACATCCTAAGCCTAACCCTATCCCCTTTATTTAAAATTGTATAATGTCTGAGTTTTTTCGCCGTCCGCGAGGAAAATAAATGGGGCTCAGAGCCTCAGAATACTGAAATCTGTATTTTTTGTCATTTTTTTCCCTTCTAACTTGTTATTATTTTGTGCAGGAACGAAACGATACTACCAATAGAAATACATTGCTTCTAAAATCGTTCTGTGTCAGAATACTGAAATCTGTATTTTTTGTAATCAGTTTTTCCTTCTAATTTGTTATTATTTACGTTGCTTTTAAAATCGTTCTGTGCGACACGAATCAAGAGATGAATTTCGTGACTATAACATGATATGCCGTGAGACTGTGCAACCACACACCGTGCAAATATTCTGAAGCTGACCTTTTTCCCTTGCTGTTGGCTTATTATGTTGGGGGAAATGTGACTTGTCTACCTTGAAATGAAGGAAACAACTAAATTGTTAAGTAAACTAAAGCTAACTGAAGCAGCTGTAGCACTAACTAAAGCAGCTGAGGCACTATGGCAGATGTAGCATTAGCTAAAGCAGATGTAGTATTACCTACTAACTATAGCAGTTGTAGCATTAGCTAAAGCAGATGTAGCGCTAACAATAGCAGTTGTAGCATTAGCTAAAGCAGATGTAGCCCTAACTATAGCAGCTATAGTGGCATTTTCTTTGCAGTTTTGGCAACCCGCAGCTCTTGAGCCTCTTGTGGCTTCCTAAAGCTTTGACAAAAATAACATGGAAATAAATAAGGGCCATTTTATTTAACTTTTTTGTGCAGTGGACAATATTTTGAAAGGAACATATTTTATCTTGGAGTATGAGGAGATACTGTGACACTGAAATACATTTTTCTAAATGTTTGGTCAACTTATATTTATATATTTGCATCCTTCTATGTCCTGGTGCTTTTCCCTCAGGGTGGCTAATCCTGTTACTGACCCCTGGCTAACCATAGATAAATCCCCCCACAAAAGTCCCCTAGGAAAAAGAGTTTAAATATGTGTGTTTAGAATCATTTTCCCTAACTGCCAGCAATAAGAATTTAAAGAGAATGTGAGAGATAGCAAACCACAAAAAATGAAATATATTGAAAATATTCCAGAACAAGGACACAGCATTTGCTGCTTCTTAACCCTCCTGTTATCCTCAGATTTACTTTACATCCTTTATCCTCTGGGGTCAATTTGACCCCAGTAGTTTAAAACTCAACGATCAT